GACTTTTTTCCCATGTTAAACTGAAATAAAATTTAAAATCAGTTAACTTTTTTTTTTTTTTTTTTCAGTGGCCCTAATCCTCTTCCGTACAATAACCATTTAAGACGACCATTTTCATTAATTTCAGATGGAACTATTCAAACACTTAGGATACAGTGGTGTAGGTATCTGATCTGCTCGGGGCCCTGCCCTTTTTCATGACGTCATCATACGGCAATGCTATTCAAACAAACTGTATTGCACCCCTTTCTTAAGAATCAGAGCTCCTCTGGAGTCTCAACATATCATTACCTATGTTTGCTGTTATTTTACATTTCATTGGCGATCTAAAGTAGCCGAAAGTAGAAAATAATCATTGTCAGTCTGGAAGGAAAGCCCTGCCTTCTAAGACAGACTTAGTTCTGCCATTTAAGAAGGCAAAACAAAAAGTCTTAGTGTTTCTTCTTGTTCTTTTTAATAGAACATCTTAAAAAAATGACATTCTCAGAGATTTTAGACCAAGAGAAGAAGTTATTCTACTTGCAGAAAACAAACAGTTGTTGAGACAAAGTTAAAAGTAATGCAGTTTAACATGGCTAACTGACTGAGCTAAAATAGGCTAACCTGTTAGCTACTGAGCACAGCTAGCCACAGCGATACCCAGCTCTCCCCTTTATATGATGGGCTGTGTCCAAATGTCACCCTAAACACTATATAGGGCACAATATAAATTTTAGATGAGTGACCGAACTCAAGTCGATGAAAAAGTAGTGGACTAGAAATTTCCCACAATGCACCTTGAAAACTAGCGATCATCAAGGGTCACTAGACGAGCAGATATATCCCCGAATGCATTATGACAGGGGTGTCAAACTGGTTCCAGAAAGGGCCGTGTGAATGCAGATTTTCTTTCCAACCAAGCAATGGAACACCAGACTCCATTCATCTCATAAAGTGTGTCCAATCTGACTTGATGGGATGAATGGAGTCTGGTGTTCCATTGCTTGGTTGGAAAGAAAATCTGCATTCACACGGCCCTTTCTGGAACCAGTTTGACACCCCTGCATTATGAGATTTATTTTCATGGTGACAGGTCTAAAACATCAAGGACGTTTTAGCGTATGGCTGAGGTACGAAAAATCTGGTAAAAATCTGGTTTTGTATAAGTTATGAGCACACTGAAGTATGCCAGAGCATGCTGAAATATGCTGGATCATGTCGACATACGGCGAGTACGCAGAGAAATTTTGAACATGCTCAAAGTTTCCCGTCGTATGCCATATGTGGGCCATAAGTCACAGGTAAGTTATCTGATCATTGACATACGTTAAGTGTAAGTTAGTCATAAGTTGTGGTGTCTAGCTTATACAAAATCTATGAGTAACTTGTCCGTAACTTATCAAGAACTCCAAGGCATATCAACGTATTTGACGAGTGCTGAACGTGTTTCTAACTTCCAGCTACTATATGATGGCGTATTGGATTTAAAAGGAGGTTCACAGGAGGAAACCATCAGTTCTCCTCCAGACTGCATCCCCATCATAGAGTGAGTCAGAAGGTGAATCTGCTGTGACAGCAAACCTTCTTTCTTTTTCTTTCTTTTATTTTTTTGGGGGTGGGTGGGTTGTAAACAGCAGCTAGGTTTAAACCGCGATCAATTAAATCTTTTTATGCAGGCCAGGCACATCAATGCGCCTGAGGGGAGCAGCTTTAACTGATGCTTCATAATGCATCTGTGCATCAGGCCTAGGCTGGATAAATCGCCATGGTGTGATAGGTCCCTACTCGACAGCGCCGACAAATAACAAAGGTGGTGCAGGCACCATGCGGGGAGGTGGAGTCACTTGACCAACGGGGAGTGAAAAGTAGTGATCATCTGTCCAAACAGTCAGTTAACTGAGTTCACTATAAAGTCCCCGCTCTATATAGTGATTGAGAGATTTAAGGCCAGATTATACTTCTGCAACCGCACACATCAAATGTCGGGTGCATCTGGTCGCAGATCAGTTTTGCTGGTATGCTTCTGCACCGTCGGTCTGAAATTTCTAGGGACACAGCTGTTTCCCACCGAAGCGCAAGGAGGAGCCTATTGGAGAACTTGCGAGAACTTTGACGGATTGTACTTCAGAACCTCCTCAATTAACCTTTCATCGTAGTTGTCCATTGTAGTTGTTCCTCGGTTTTTCAAAATGGCGCGCCCCGGCACCGAATCGAGAACAGCCGGAAAGGCATACCAAGGACTAATCACAGCTGCTTTTTGTCTGCACACTTCCACTTGAGGACTGTGCAGGTTTGCGATCGTATGAGGCGTAGACAGGATTTTTTTTGAGGAGACAGATTTGACGGTTGTGTCAGAAGTATAAATTGGCCTTTAGGGGTCAGGGCGGACGTTCGGGCACAGCCATGGTCTTGCGGTTACTTTGTTCACCATTAACTGGGACTGTAACTAGTTATGATTGATTACAAAATTAAACCAGTTGAAACTAAAACTTTTCCACTTAAGGGGTTCTGGATAGAACATGTTGACAGAATAAAAATGTTATTTTTTTTTATCTTAAATGTTTACATATTTATTTTATGATTTTGCTGTAATTGCTGCTCTAAGTGGGTCACTCTGTCAGCTAAAGACACATGTTAGAGTCTCTAAACTCCAGTTAACAATTACTAAATTGGTTGACGATTCTTTCAATAAACGATTAAACCAATTATTTGTTTCAGCCCTACCATAAACATATTTTTGCAGTTTTGTTATTAATCAGGTAAAAACTTCATCGGTCATTAGACAAGCTAGCACTACAGATGCTTCTGACTCTGCACACAGACGCTGTATTATGTTAATATCGTTGTCTGGGCAACCATAATGTTTTACGTGATGTTGCAACATTCAGCCAATCATATAGCTCAATGACACTGGCATGAGCAGTGCCTGAGCAGATCTGGTACATGTCCTTTGAAACTGGACAAAAAGAAGGCTTCATTTGTCTTCCGATCTGAATAGGCCTCTACGCCGCGCTATGACCTAATTGGCAGACAAATTTGGCCTTCTGATGACACAGCCGCTGAATTCGAACTCAGCAAAAGACCATTTATCGTAGGAAATTGTTTCCTATGATACTAGCATACCGTTGAACATGCTGTTAGCCAAGGCTCCACAGGGCACGATTGGTCTGTCGTTGCTGTCATAGTCAAAGGGGGCACAATCACTACCAGGACTCTATCAGGAGAAACACAAAAATTTTATTTATGAGGATTAATACATCTTGGTTAAGGTTTTGTATATCTATAAAAAATTAAAAAAACTGGTTATAGAGCTATAAAAATGGCCTCAGTGTCAGAGTGGGAAGAAGACAGATATTGTTGTAAGAAAGCTATAAGAAGTCTGATTTGCAATCTGCAACACGCCCTGTAGTGGAGAACAGCAAGCCTTCAAAATGGCAGATGGAAAAAAATATAATTATACATAAAAAAAAGAAAAAAAAAAGGTATACAATCTTACTTTAAAGTAATCCAGGTCTCCATATAACTGATTATCGTCTCTGGAAACCCCATACCTTCTTTGGTTCTGGAAGTAATTAGTTAAGCCATAATACATGAAGACAGGTCCCTGTAAGAGAAGGAAATGTTAGAAATCATAAAAGCCGTCTTAGAAAACGGAAAGAATAAAGCGTCATTTTTTGCTTGCAAAGTGCAGTTTGTGTCTAACCTTAAACAGAGTGTCAAGGGAAAACACTATGGTGCAAATGCACTTTCTGACATTTGGGTCAGTGCACTTAGAGCAGGGATTGCTTGATTCCACACCAGTGTAGTCCAACTGTTTTTGGGGGGGGATAAACATGGAAAAAACATTTTTCTTTTAGAGATCAAACACTTTACAAACTGCAGTGAGAAAACTGAGAGGGTAATAGATCAGACCAAAAGAACAGTTTTTATTTTCATCTAAGTACTGTATTTCCATTAGCTTCTCGCCGTTTCTTCTAATGTCTGATTCTTCACTTCTTCATATCAAAGGTCCTGTCTTACCTCCAGCACCTGGATGTCCCGTGAAGTGATGAAGAGAGCAACTCCAACGCCGATAAATGCCAGCCCAATGAGGACAAACCCTGGAATAACAATTCCTGCAGAGAGAATGGGCTGCCATGCTGGAAGCCTCTGCTGGGTGAAGGCAGTGTTGTCAGGCCGGTCTGATGACTTCTCCGGCTCGTTTTTCACCATCGTCCTAATTCTGTTGGATTGATTATATACATGTGTATATATATATATATATATATATATATACACACACACACACACACGCACACACACATATATATATATATTTATAAACATGTGCTCTTAAAGTAAAGTTAGCAGTATACTCTATTTTAAGTGGTTATATTTGATCAATGGTAAAGGAAAATGGTGGAAACGAATGGTTGATGTACATTAGATGGGTAAAGTTTTGAAGATTCTTGACTTCCTGATTCTCATTACGTCATTATCTGATTTATATTTAATGTTAATCTACTACTGATCCACTTAATACGTTTTATATTTAACTTCTACGCATTTCAGCACTGAGAAAAACCGAGTAACAAACCAAGTAAACATGTCTCTCAATCCAATCTGTTTCTCATCGCCAATCATTTGTCTTTCTAAAGAAAATATGCGCATGAATGGGGATATGTCGAGATTAAAAGGTTATACTTACACGTAGACGGCTAAGAAAAATGGAGAAACAAAGAAGTCAACAGGGCGCTCAGATCTTTTCCTGGGTTTAAGGAGCGGTGTAGAAGCTCACCTTTACCTGCCCTCCCTTCCTTCACCTCTTCCTATTCTTCCTGCCCTGCCCTTTTTTCATTTGACACCGCATAGGCCTCGCTGGAAAGCAAGCATCCGCCATATTGAGAGTGGCAATTTAAGTCCGAAAAGACACAAAATGTATTCAAATAATATTTTTTTTGTTAAATAATCAATAAATAAATATCAAAGCGGTTGAACAAACAAGCCGTGGTTGGCTCAGACAGTATTCACTAAGTCACAGACACAGCAGCGCCAATTAGCTATGCCATTAAATTGCATAGATTTCTATTTACGATTTTTGTAAAATATTTGTCAGAAAAAGGAACAAAATACGTTTCTGCTTTAATGTGCCACAAAATCCCAACCGATCTAACAGTAAATATTTGGCTTGTAGAGCGTCATGCCTCTCACAATATGGCGGAAGACGTCGACGTAAAACCCGGGCGTTCACGTATGGCCCAGTCTCAGCTGACAGTCATAAATCTCAAAGGAATTAGCTTAATTATCTCAGAATTTTACTCTAAACACTTAATTCAGATCGGCAATTTAAAAAAAAGTATGAAAAATAAGAATTTTATTTGTACGGTTAGAACCAGGAGTTCGATCAATTGAGCCCCGCCTTTGTTTTAATCGACGGTTTCGACCACCAATCACATTTGAGTATCATTGCATAACGTTTTGCCATCCACCAATCACGTACTTGCGTTTTGCATAACCTGCAACCGTTCCGTCTTTGTGTTGATATATTCGGAGGATTGAGAGGTAATTTCATTTTTTTTAATTAAAATGCGTCTCTATTCTATAAACTCCATTCTGATGTATAAATAAAATACAATTTATTTCCAGGGAGGTTATTTCAGACAGCTTATGTATCCATGCAAATCCTGCGCATCAGCTAGCTGCAGCTCATTGTTAGCTTAAGCTAAAAAAAAAGCATGGTCTCCTTGGCTATTTTAACGGCTTGGTATTAAATTAGGAACATGATATGTTTGGATTTCATTTTATCGTTTTGACCATTGCACAGGCTTTAATATTTGATGAATATATGGAAGTTACTGCTTGTAGAAAGTATTGTGTGCGCTGATGATGCACCGCTAGCTTTAGCACCGCTAGCTTTCGGTCAATTTATCCAACACAACAAATATAAACAGGAAGCTAGCAACGTCTTTAACACATGATCAATGTTAAAACTGATCAGGACTCAACAGCCTAACGGGCATTGTAGCAAATTTGTTTAAAGGTTTCTTAAGTTTTAACAATTTCTGAAAAAAAAAAAAAAAAAGCTTTTTGTTAAATGATGCTAGTCGGTGAAATTAAAAGTGACATTTCTAACTTTCTGAGCTTTCTTCTTATCAAAGGCCAGCAGTGGTGTTTAGCTCGTTCTGTCTGTAACCATATTTCTGGTTCTGTCTTCGTCCCTTAGTGTTTGAATGGATATTACCAGGTGTACGGAGAAATGGGTAAAACCAGACAAGGTTTCTGTACCTTGGAGCCTTCATGTCATAAAACCATCACACCCATGCACTCTCTACATCCTTTCTGTCATCCAGTGAACAGAATTATTTAAAGAGATCTATCACTCACATCACTTACATTTTATTTGGTTACTGTTTTAATTATTTTCACTTTTAAAGAGTTAAGAAAGGTTCTCATATTACGTTTAATTTGACATGTTTTTCACATGTGAGTATATTGCTTCGGGTTAAATCAAATCTGAGATGGCTCAAATTTTAATTGAATCCTAAATTTCACCTTATATAGACAGTCAAGCATTCTAAGCCTATAACAGCATAACCATAGAGATAGCTCAGGATAACTTGAGCCGTTCTGAGCTTTATCAAAGTTGTAAGCCTATCTTTTAAAAGCAGACAAACTGGTAGAGGAGCCTAATAACAAAGATCTGCCTAAAAGAGGATTTTAAATTCTATTCTGGATTTAACAGGAAGTCAGTGAAGTGAAGCCAGGATAGGAGAGATATGATCTCTTTTTAATTTTCATCAGAACTCTGGCTGCAGCATTTTGGATCAGCTGAAGGCTTTTAACTACAGTTTGTGGACTTCCTGATAGTAAAGAATTACAATAGTTCAGCCTTGAAATAACAAATGCATGGACTAGTTTCTCAGATGAAAGAAGGAAATTCTATAAACCTTTTTTTATGGGATTTAAATTACAGGTTCTGATCAAAAATCAAGATTTTTAACTTTATTTTCTGAGCTCAATTTAATCCCATCCAAATAAAATGACTGACTTATCAGCTTCTTTTTCTTTTTTTTTTGAGTTTTTACTGCACTAGTGGCTCGTTTTTTTGACAGTAGGCTGACAGGAAAGGGGGTGTGATAGAGGAGGAGAGACATGTGGCAAAGCACGGCAGGCAGGATTCGAACCTGAGTCGGCTGTGTCAAGGACGAAGGCCTCCTTACAGGGGCCGGGTTCGCTAACCACTGCGCCACCTCGCTCACACTGTACGACGAAACCGCAGGGTCGTACAGTGTGAGTTCGCAGCTTACGATGCACTTTCACTAGCCTGACGTAGTCCAACTCAATTCTAGTCAGAATATGAGTCTGATGCTGCTCCATAGAGCTGTGATTATGGGGCGTGTTTTGAATGGACCAGGAAAAAAAATGCCTCTGCACTCAATTGGATAGACCTACAACCAATAAGAGCAACGGAGTGCGTGACGTATGTTAAGCGACGCATAGTTATTGTCAACAAAAATCAAAGCGTGCAGTTGCACGCCTAGAATACGAAGATGAGCCTTGATCGCGTTTCTCTGTTCCTCTTTTAAAATTAATTTGCTGTCGATATCTTCTAGAACAGACCTAATAGCAGAATCTACTCACCTCAACTCTCCGGCGGCAGCCATTGTTGTTGTCACCCAAGCGCGCTTTGGTGACGTGGTTGATTACGTTACTGTGGATCAACTGTCCATCATCGTATAAAGCCCGCCCTGACAATTTGGTTGGATCGCCTGACAGTGGGCGATAATACTCGCGCTACTATGGAGCAATGCCAGACCGAACTTCCCGACCTCAAACCTTGTTGGCGGGACTAAGTTCGGAATGACACCCAGGCTACACTTTCACCACGTCGGACATACAAACATTCTATAAAGACCTCAGATATTTATTATGAAATTTAACTAAACCGGAGGTCTTCAACAGGGGGTCAAGGAGGTACTGCATGGGGGTTGCGAAAGTTTAGGCTGATTAGACCTTTTTTTTTATAGCCCCCTTGAAAATTTTTTCCAGTAATGAATGAAATGTCTTTAAAGCCACATGAACATGAATTTAACACACTGTAGTAAACAGATAAATGGAGGCAGAAGATGTCTTTCAGTCATTAATGTACACATTCAGCGACACACAGGAGCTCTTTCAAGCTGGGCACCGTTTCATTCACAACACCTGTCCCATCAACCAGGAATCAGAAATACTTTAATAATCCCAGAGGGAAATTACTTTAGTTTCATTACTCCATCTGTAATAGAGTGACGAAAGAACCAGTTTGATAGAACACTATTTCATAGAATATATATTAGTGGATCCCTGCTCCATCTCGCCATTAGTTAAGAACAAATAAAAACGTTTAAGACCCCTGCTCTAAACTATATCATGGATGACAAAGGAACATTGTAGGTCAGGGAGAAAGTTGTGAGGATAAAACAAAAAACAACACAAACTTTAAATCATTTGCTAAAACATCATCCACATCTCTGTTCAACCCGTCGCCCTAAAATAGGGAGAGGATGGCAACAAAACAAGACATAAACACACGCTGGGTGAGGAGAACAGCAATGAGAGAAGCAATTATGCTCGTAGTAACTCTGGAGGAGCTGCAAATATTCAGAGCTCAGAGGAGCTTCACTCATCGGGAATCTGTAGAAAGGACCCCTTTCTCTAAGCACTCAAAAAAATCAACCTTTAAAAGAGCATTGGACACAGGATTGGAAAGCTGTTATTTAAAAAAAAACTGAGCAAAAATAAGTCCCATGTTCAGACAAAAAACTAAACCTGATGGTAAATATGATTATGGCAGGATTTTAAGTATTTAGCACAAAAAATGTGCTAAAGTACAAGTTTGGAGGAGCCCTCCTTCGACTGTCATTTCGACACCACAAAATGCAAAAGTGCTGTTTTGTTTTCTTTGTTTCTTCACCTGTTATTCATATGTGGACATTTCATCAAATAATCGGAAATATTTTTAATTTCTTCTGTTTCAAACATTTTAATCTATCCCATTCCACTCAGTATTTTTCACAGCTTTTTTTGCAACTTGTCTTTGCATAGTTCCTGTTGTATATTCAGTGTCGTGAGGGTTTAGTTCAATTTTTTATGCGTTTGTCCTTCAGGAGAGGCCTCCAACATCTTCCATTATGCTGTCTAGCAAGAAATCAGATGCAGGCTCCTCCTCCTCCTCCTCTTCATCCTCTGGCGGGGCGGCGGGAGGTGAAAGGCCCTTGACTGCTGACGTCCAGATCGGCCCGTCAGCCTCGGCTGCTGGACCGATGGATCCAAAGAAGAAGGAGAGATCATCTCCTAGCGGGGAGCCTGGAGGTCCCCCATTCCCTCACCAGTCAAGTTCTGCAGCGGCAGAAGCTGAGGCGGCTGAAGTCCGTAGAACAAGTCGACGGAAGCGAGCAAAAGTAAACATTTTAGGGTTCTGGAGCTTTAAGAGTCCCCTTAAATAGAGCAGGTAGATGGGGTTAGGTCGGTTTTATAATGATTGAGGTTCCCTCTCAACCTGCAGCATGTTCTGCAGGCTTTCTGTAATGACCTTATTCTTTGATTCAGGTGAGTTGAAGCAAACACACATCCAATCAAGACACCCTCCCATCCTGCTTCAACAGAAGGAGGCTTTAATGTTCCTAAAACTATTTGATGAAATAGAAATGAAATTTTTTCTCAAGTACATTTGGTTTTTACATAACTTAAAACCCTTCAGATGTAATTTAAAGCAACACTTGATAACATTCGCCTCTGCCGTATTTGCCAGTAGAGGTACAGCAGCAGTACAAGTCACAGGGACGTTAAAGCCGACTATATTTACATAAAGAGCTCAGGGAAGCAACAACGCCACCTTCGTCTGATTGGATCTAGTGGACAGAATATGTTAGTGTGGTTCTGCAACAGACTTCATTACATGCAGCAACCATGTCGCTCAGGATGCCCAAAATGTTACCATGTAAAAGTGCATTAGGCCAAGAGCGTACGTTTTGGTGGTATTTTTTCAGACCTTCTTTGTTGTTTTATAATGTCATTTTTTATTTTTATTTTTTATAGATTCTGTTCTCTGATTGTGACCAGCTTGACCTATGGAATGGCCGCAATATTGCATTTCCAGCGTTCTTTTTAAAACATGGAGCAGCTCTGTCAATCAAAATAGTTTTATTACAGTCAGTTACTTGAGAATCTACTGGTATACGTTTAATTTATAAATCTGTCTGGAGTATAGGTCACACCCCTGGCTAAAACATGTAAAAAAAAAAGTGCAACTTATAGTCCGTAAATTACGGTTAATTAAGTCCTACATCAGAGAACCAGAAATCTGTCTGATCAGGTTGGAGTCAGATCTCAGAACTGTTAGCTTAGTTAGCTCTGGTCTTTAAGGGGAGCTCAGCCTACTTTAAAGCAGCGCTCTGGTTTACATGACTCATTCAGTGATGGATCCGACTCGCTAAAGTCACATGGCTGAGTTTTTTAGAAGAGCAGCCTGTATGGAGCATGGGTATGGAAAAAAATATTAAGGATATAGATTTGTTGGTGTCCTTGGAAACCAGTCAGACCTTTCCAACAATCCGTGGCTCGTCTCTTATTGACATCTTAGATTTTCTACATAATGGGGGTTTATAAAAGCAGCAGATACTTTAACCACTGTGATTAAGTCCTATAATTGAAATCATCTCCTTTTTTATCTCATCTAATTTCCTTTTAGAAGGTGGACATTAGTAATGGGTAATGAGCCATCTCAAAGCCTTTTCACTTCATTGATACTTTCTCAGAGAATACTGACACCTGCTATACCTTTAAACACACTACAGGCAGCTTATTTGACAGACTAAGCTGAATTGATTTGATGACTTGGAACACTAATATAATTTAAATTATTGTGGTTATATTATTTCATATCTATGTTTAAATTGAAAATATCCTTTGATATCAGCCAATAAATAATGTGAAGACATAACATTTAGGGGAAAATGTGATTGAGGATGCGTGTGGACTAGGATTTTAAATCATAATTTTAAAACAATAAGTACAGTAAAAACAGTAAATAAACTAAGAGTCAATTTGAAATTAACTTTAATTCAGATAAGTTGAGTGAAAGCTGAGAGGAAAGCGATGACACGATAAAATTAAATAAAAACTCAAAAGAAATCAGATTGAAATGTTCCTATTCCTTTTACGCTGCTCCAAAATTCTTGATCATTTTAATGATAAATCGCAGAAGATGCAGATGCATCATGTTGACAGATACATTTTAAAACACAGTTTAGTGAGTCAGTCAGTTGGAAACAACTCCTGTATCGGTCACATGACTTTCTTAAAACGTGTTGCTCTTCTGCACCGACGCATCAGTGTTGCTGGACTCATTACTGACGGACAATAAAGATTTGGAACAGATTTGGAATGTTAGGCTAAATTCTGCTGATTTTGATACGATCACTTTAATCTGAGGTATCTCCTAGGTTTTCATAAGGACTTTAATCGTGGTTTTCACTGTTGTTTTTATGGCTGCAGCTGTTGTTAAAGTATTTGATCTATTGATTTTTTTTTCAATTAATCTAAAAGGAGATAATTTAAGTAAATAACATTTTCTAAATAAATATTTGTAATATAAAAAAAGTATATAACAGGAAATTAAGCTTTAATGGAAAAAAATGCAAATTTTCATAGTCAATATTTGTAGTTTTGTCTTAATCACTCCTCAAGGGGATTTTATTCCTTCGGCAAAATGCACGCCCTAGAGTCTTTGTACCGTAACTTTAGGTAACGATTAAATTCCTTCACAAAATTTGTTATTTTACTATTAGATTGTTAACTTGATAAGCTGTTGTTAATTTATTTCAGTTGTGTATTTTCAGGTGGACTTCTAACTTCTGCATCATCTTTACCAAGTTAATCTTTTTACCTTTTGTGCAAGATTGACATCTAGAAACGATTTACTCCATGACCGGAGTAGGAATCTGTTATTGGGCTAATTCTCCACCTATGGCCCCCCTGCTCCACCTATGAGAAGAAGGTTTTAATGGTGAATGGGTTGTTTTTGTCCTCGATGTGGTAAGGTCTTCTGGTGCAGAAAACAGCCCCAACCATAACGTCTCCACCTCCGTGCTTCAGTGAGGCGTTTGTCATCTTAAGACTGAGTCAGTATTTCTCTCTTTAAACACTGGATGTGGAGCTTTGTGAGAATATTTTGGTTCATTTTAGTTGTCAGGATTGGAAACGGTTCAAACGTTCAGGAGATTAAATTTTTTAAAAACATCCTTTATGCTTCAGCTCTTTCCAGGAGCGTAAGTGATTGAACGGGTGGACATCTGGAATGCCGGTTTTAATGGTGCTTTTATTGTGCCTACTGTTGCAGGTGGAGTACCGCGAGATGGACGAAAGCCTGGCTAATTTATCCGAGGACGAGTATTACTCTGAGGAGGAGAGGAACGCCAAGGCGGAGAAGGAGAGGAAGCAGGTCATCCCTCCTCCGCCTCCACCTCCTGAGGAGGAGAACGACAGCGAACCTGAAGAACCATCGGGTGAGTCGCTGCTCCAGGAAGCATAACCGCAGGTCGTCTTGTGTTCTGAGTGAGACTCGGGTTTTAGAGGAACGGGGACGTTCATGTTTTGCGTTTAGGTTTGGAAGGAGCTGCTTTCCAGAGCCGCCTTCCTCATGACAGAATGACGTCCCAGGAAGCCGCCTGCTTCCCAGATATCATCAGTGGTCCTCAGCAGACGCAGAAGGTCTTCCTGTACATCCGTAACCGCACCGTACGTTCTTTTTAACACGATTCTTTTGATAAGCAGACAGAAATGAATGAAAAGCTTCCAGGCCTCATCTCAAAGTATTTTCTCCTGATCTTGTTCAGATCCAGCTGTGGCTGGACAACCCTAAGATTCAGCTCACCTTCGAGGCTACTGTGCAGCAGCTCGAAGCTCCTTATAACAGTAAGCAGTCAAAGTTAATCTAGTAATGATTTCTCTCTTCAAGAAGAAACTATATTTGATGTTTTCCTCTTTCTGCAGGCGATACGGTGCTGGTCCACCGGGTCCACAGTTATTTAGAGAGGCACGGCCTCATCAACTTCGGCATTTACAAGAGAGTCAAGCCTTTACCCAGTAAGTTTGTTTCACGTCCGTTTTATTTTTTTATGAGATGGCAAACCCAGCCAGCACAGCGGGCCCGCTGTTCAACATGTCATGACCTGATTTAATAAAGTCAGCTTTTGATCTGTGATGCAGAGATTAAGCAGATTTTTGTTCTTCTTTGCAGCAAAGAAGACTGGGAAGGTGATCATCATCGGCGGAGGTGTGTCTGGCCTGGCTGCAGCCAGACAGCTGCAGAGTTTTGGGATGGATGTTACAGTACTAGAAGCCAGGGTGGGTCACCAAAAAACGTTTTTAATAAACCACTGTTTATCCAAGGTGTTTTATTTGTATTTTTAAATTACTACTGATGGTCTTAGTTTTGTTAATTAGAGCTGATTTTATTGTGAAAACCTTCTGGACTTCCAGAATCATTTCTTCAACTGAGGGACGCCATCTTTTAAAAAAGAAAACATTGCCTCTCTGTCCGATTTTTAGCAGTGATTAAATTAACCTTTATTAGTTAATTATTTTTGATTTATCATATATTTATTGCCATAGTTTTTTTGTCTGTTAACTCTTAAAAATTGTATGTGGTTTTATCTACAGTTTTTAGATTTTTGCCCCATGTATTTTTCTCTTTAAATTTTAGAGGCCTTAAATAAATTTCCCTCCTTTTTCTTGTTTGATCCAATAGAAATGTTAAATTAATTTGTCTAAATTTGTTTCTATTTCTGTTACTTGTTTTAATGAAATTGCTGCAGCTTAAGTTTGCTTATGTTTAACATATGCAGGACCGTGTGGGAGGGCGAGTGGCCACGTTTAGAAAGGGAAACTATGTGGCTGACCTGGGAGCCATGGTAGTCACAGGACTGGGTAAGAATCTGTCCCCTTTTGTTGCAAAGTGACTCGTTAAGCTTTTATTTGGTAATGAGGTAATGAATCTAACCCTAAATTAAAGATGCAATTACTTTTGAACTTTTTGTCAGTTTATCAGTCCAGATAAGATTTTTAGAGCCCTTACTTTCTGGTCTAAATGAAGTTGCTGCAGTTGCACGGTATTCCAGCAGGGGGAGGTGTTTCAAATGTATGTTTTGTTGCATTGAGCTTCTTGTTTTTGGTTTGTCTGGTTGTTCAGGAGGGAATCCCATGGCTGTGGTCAGTAAGCAGGTTAACATGGAGCTGGCTAAGATCAAGCAGAAGTGTCCTCTGTATGAGGCCAACGGTCAGGCTGTGAGTATGATTATCCTCCTCAACGGAAATGGAGCCCCGGCTTGCGTCTTTCCGGATAAATCGCTTTTCATCGAATTAGAATATCATTGAAACTTTTTTTGTTGTTATTTTCTTACAGAAATTCAATTTGAAAATTGAAGGTTTTTGATTAAATGTATTCATTACCAACAGTCACAGCATTTTCTGGCTGATTTGGATGATTCTGGCTTACAGCAAATGGAAACTTAAACCTGGTTTTACCAAAGATTAGAATATTACATTTGACCCATAAGAAGTGCTTTTTGATACGGAATTGTGCTCTTATTGAATCTTTAGTCAAGATAGCAGTAGAGCATCAACCCTCACTGCTTCTCTGAGTTCTTACTGTCAGAGTTACTGCTTCCGTGCAGCGTGGCATGGAGACACCATAGTTTGGAGTTCCTCCTTCCGCCCAGTTTTCCACCACCGCACTAAGATGCAACCCTCGTTGGGATAGCAACAACTTAAAGCCTAGAGATGCGCTGATCCATTTTTCCAATCAGATACTGATATCTGTGCTCAGTTTATCGGCCAATCTGATCAGACTGTTCAGTGAATGAACGATAAAGCTTGTGATGTTAGTAAAGCCTCAGGCTTGACATAATAACTATAAAAAAAAGGGTATCAAATGAACACAGATATGGATGTTTATATTATTTTTTATCAACAAATAAATGTGTATATATATATTTGTGTATATAGCAGCAAGAAGAAATAACACTTCCATGAAGGGCGGTGATAAAAAAAAAAAGACTTTCTAGATCTAAAATAATTCTCATTAATTCCTAATGATAATAGATTCAATGACCAAGGATTAATTTATTTTTTTTTAATTGATGCATTTTCTACTGTCCTTTCAGCCACAACTATCCACCATTACTTTATGAAAGGTCTGTTGAATGTTTTGAATGGCTTAACCACACAGTCATGCAATTCAAGCAGCAGCTAGAAGAATGTTTTAGTGCCAGGATTCCAGTTTGAGATAAGATGCATCGATCCGGTCAAAACTTATTGATTCTAAATCTTCAGAATTGAATCAATTCTTGAAATTTGAATCACTATCCAGCCCCACTTCCATGTAAGGTGAACTGCAAACCGCTTGGATATGTTTGATATTAATAAAAGAACTGATTGGATCTGAAAGCTGGATCGGCGTCATTCGTCCGAAATCCGATCCTGCTGGTTAATTAGCCGACATCTGCATCTGCTGGAAGACCTCCATCATCTTCATAAAGTTTATAGAAGATAACAGCTAACATTTTTACCGTTTAAAACCATTTTTAAGATTTCATTTTTTAGTTTTCATTAGCTGTAAGTCAAAAGCATCAATGTTAACAGGTTTTACTTTGATCACTTATGTTTGTAAAGAATCTTAACTTCTATTTAATGGAAGAAATAAATAAATTTTTCAATGATATTCAGGTTTAGCTCTGAATAAAAAAAAAAAAAAAAAAAAAGCTTGTTTTGGTTCCGATTATGAAAATATGTGCTTGTTCTAAACCTGATGATATTAACTAATCACTGAGCTGAAAGTATGTGAACCGTCATCTTTATAATCTCTTATAAATCATAGTTCCGAAATCGGGTTTTCTTTTTAGTCTAATTTCAATTTGAATCAGATTTTCTCTAAATAATACGACCTAGCAGATTGTTAAAGTTCATGTCTTCACATACTTGAATCATTTGTGTGTTTAGACTATAATTACTAGGTTGATGATGGATAAATGTGTTTGTCGATGGTCTTTTTGAATTATGCTTAAAATCTGAAATAGACTGATTAATCTGCCGGCCGATATTGCAGAATTTTTTATTTTTATTATACTAGCAGTAGCCAATGACCAAGCATGGCTTCGCTGATTCATTAATGCGTTCAGCATCATTGCTTTTCCAGATTACAGAAAGCATCTCTGCTACTCACTAGTTGCTATAAGTTGTTCATAAATGTTTATTTTTTGTTGAAACTTTTGTAAATTTTATCATTGTGTTGTTTTTAAAAGAACACAATGCTTTAAAGCAACATCTGGTTCGAGATGTCAGCCTTAAAAAATTGGTCAATTTTAGCTCGAAATATTTTGTGATTTTAAATGTTTTTTCTCTGTCTTTTAATTTAGTTTTTTTTTTCAAATCTGCTGGTTTGTGACACAGCTCCGGTTTTCCATGAGCTCTAAACCCTGTAAACCTTTGGCTCATTGAAGTACTCATTGTTGCGAGTCGTTAGAAGCCGTTCTGTATCCTCTCTGGGCCCAGAGAGTCGGCGCTATTAAACAGGAACCATCGCTCGGTTTCGCTGCGTCCTTTAAGCGGCTGCAGCATCTGCAGGATGTTTGAGTTTGTCTCAGACCGTTTCCATGGATTTATAAGCTACACTTCAGCGCTTTTTTTTTATGGTTCCTCCAATCAGGGGACAGACAAATCAAATGTTAATGGTTTTACTTTGTCAAACCTGTTTGAGGTTAACGTTGTTTACTCAACTTGTTCTTTTTCTCTCCCCCCCTCCCTTCTTGTCCTTTCAATGCTTTCCATGTTCATCTTTTTGGTGAACCGCTAAAGGGTGAACGGTGCACCAGTGTATGTATAAATCTATTTACATCCTCTATATAACTGTTTAATGATGACTCTTTTAGTTTTTCCCTACATGTAACCATTTCCTAGTCATGAAAAAAAAACAAAAAAAAAACAGAAACGAGCAGCTACTCTAGTTAAAGTTCTCCAGAACACAGTAAACATTTCATAAATGTTTTTCTGTATAAACTAATAGTTTGCATCTCTTCCTAGAGATGACACTTAAATATGTTGATGTTAAACCAGTAATTGCTTTTAGAGATGCTTATTGTTTCTCTCGGCTTTTTAACATATTTTCCTGGTTTAACTGTTTCTCTGCTGGTTCTGCATGGCATGACATCTCCTTGCATGTTTATAAAGCATGAAATACAGAGAATACTTGATGTTTATAAATATTATGGCCACTTATTCTGATCAACACTGTAAAAATGCATCGAAAAGTCAGTAAAATGTCTTTTAAAAAAGTGTTTTTTTAAATAATTTAAGCAGGTAAATATGAAAACCTGTCTATGAAATTCTATTTTTTTTTTTTACTTAAGATTAAGAATGAATCAATTTAAGGTTTTTTTTCTGGTTTTGAATTTAAACCATATAATTCAGTTGGCAAACTGTATCAATTACCTGCTCAGTAAAGAGAAAAGGCGCTTTAATCAAGAAAAAGTTGACTGACTTGTTTTACTTATGGCAAAGAAAAGTAACCCCCACACTTTTTTTTTTTTTGTCAAAATGTTAATTTCATGTTTAAAAATGCTAATAATCCTAAATAAAGCTTTATTTATAATAAGCTAGCCAAACGAGCCTGGCCCTGTGTAGAAAAGTTACTGTCTCAATTGTTAAATTATGAATTTACTCTAACCAAATTATTCAGAAATGGTTTCCCTTTTTTGTGATTGAATCAAGAAATTGCTAAAATATTAGAATCTTCCAGCAGTATGAAGAGCAGAAGAATAAGGAAAGAGTGAAAAGTAAATAAAAACTGAGTTATTAAGGGTTTAAGACTGTAGAGAACTACAGGTAGAACAATTACCCCCAAAAACAGCAATCCCTTTCAGGCAGCATTAAAATAATTACAGCAACTCATCCAGGAGGTTAGAGGTAGTCTGACCATTCTGCTAAGGCTCAATACTCTCTGACTCTAATCACACTGGACCAATAATGAAATGTTGCTTCTCTGTAACTATAACAGTCAGAGAGATGTTTTAATGGTGAACTTTATTTCATCCCGAAGAGCCTGATTATATCTTTAACATTTTAACGAGTGGCTGCTTTTCTCTGTAATTGTTTTAACACTGTTGCTCCTGCCTTTGAATTCGTAAGTTAGTGTGGCTGGCCAGGCTGGGCTAAAGCAGTCAAGGTCAGAGGTCATGATTCAACAAAATGAGAGAAACCAGGCAGAAATGGCCTCCGATCGGAAAAGAAAAAAACTCTATGATCCTCTGGATATTCAAGGTCCGACAATTTTGGGCTATTTAGGAATCTGTTGTTCCTCCTTGAAAAGATCCCATTAAAGACCAGTCAAACATGGTGGTAGTAAAGTGATGATCCTGATGGTTTTACTGCTTCAGGATCTGAGTGACTTCCTGAATATGTTTATGGTCTGGTCCAGTTGTTCCCATATAGGAGAAGAGATGTAATGAGGGCAGCTGTGGTAGAAATTAACCAAATAAATCAATGAAAAAAATTTTCTGTTTCAAAGTAAAAATAAACTGTAAAATTAATTACTCTTGAAACTGGTTTAATGAATTAGAATTAGTAATTGACCTCAAGTATTCAGGGGGCAGCACAAATTTCTTCCAAATAAAAGGGCGGCCCCAACAAGAAAAATGCTACAGACTCGTGGCGGTGAAGATTCTCAGTCATCCAGGTCAGAGGCATTCCAGAAAAGTAAAAAAAAAACAACAATCCACTGGAATGTTTCTAAGTTTGTAGACGTTTCTCTTCCCATCCAGGAAGCTCTTTTAATTCAAAATTCAAATTTCCACAACCTACAGTTCAGTCAATTCCTTCCTGTTATCATCGCAACATCCAACCCCCTGTCTTTTCAGCCAGGCCAACAATTCTCTTTAACAACCCCCCTTTCAGAGGCATAGACATGTTTTGGGTACTGCAGGCTAACAAAGAACAAAACGACCCCCATTCTAAAAGGGCTGGACCCGTTCGTCTGTTTCAATTTATATGTTTTCTAAACCAAAACAAGGCTTTGTTTGTGGTCTACTCCATAAAGCCTGGAACTCAACACCATTTTTTGCATTTTGAATTGGAAAAAACATCCTGGATGGGAAGAGAAAAGTCCTCATACTTGGAAACAAAGTCCAGTGGATTGTTTTTCAGCTTTTTTTTGGAACTACTGTCTAGTAGGGATGGAACGGTTTATGAAAACCGTTCGGTTTGACTGTCTCGGTTCGGTTCGCGTGTGTTGCGTTCGGTTCATGCGCTGCTCCTTTTTCTCATAGAGGAAGCGTTTACACTCC